CACTAGAGGATACAAAAACAACTCTGTGGGAAAGATCCAGTCCAGATGAGATAATCAATACGATACCAGGCTCAAAGCTTCTGGTACATTATAGGCTGACAATGGAAGGGGTGATCATGGGTCCAAAAGATAGTCTAGAGCAAGAAAATGGAGGTCCTAAGAATGAGCATCTCCATGTTGGTGACTGGAAGAAAATGATAGTTGAGTTATCTGAATGGATCATGACAAGACCACCACAGAGACAAGTTAGAAAATGATGGCCAGCTTGTTGAACAGCCAACATCTCAAAGATGTTGATACAGAGAAAAGACTACTCTGGATATGGAAAAAGCATCCAGAACTGCAACCCATCTGAACAGAGAGGCACTGGTTGACAGACTGTTTGTTAGACCACCAGTGCTGCTTTCACCACGAGTATGGAAACCAAGATATTTAAGCATTTAATATCTCAGTCCTACCAATGGGGGTTTCCAAACAGATGCAAGTCTGGCAAGGTGGGGTAAGACAGATGCCCAGGATCGAATGATTTCTAATGAGCCACCACAACAGTAAGGGAGAGACAAAAGAGAATACAGTGGATTTTTGACTATAGTGCACTGATCAGGGATGCATATGAGAGTGTCTGTGAGTAACAAAGGACTTCAGAATAGAAAGAATCCCCAAAAGGAGACAAAGCCTTTCATTCAGAAAATAAGGAGACATGAAAGCCTTGTAACAGAAGCTTTAGTTCTCGAAGACATAGGAAAAGGCTGAACCTTCCTCATATACAAATTGAGAAAACCTCAAGTGAATAAGATACTGGGTGGTGAAAAGATCGAATTAGAGAGCCAAACCAGCCACCCCAAACAACTCAACTCTTGAAGAAAAATGGATGTCATGTTTTTTGGGGCAAATAAAAACAGTCATCCATAGAGTAGTGAAACATTGGGCCTGAAGAATGTAACATTTGGGGCTAAAGACAACCTGAAGGGAAGGGCTGTAAATAGAATACTCAACCATTGTGGATGAACCAAAAGAGGCAAAAGGTGAACACACAAATTAGAATGTGGAGAAAGCATATGAAACATCAATCCTGGTCATCCACACTCCAGTAGATTACCCACCCCAGAGTGAGAAAACTGTCCATCTTGAGCTGAGGAGCAACCAAAGTTTGTTTGAGTAGAACAGACCTATGACAGGTCACTAATCTCCCATCTTTGTGGGAATAGCAAAAAGATGGGAATAAAAGCCCAGAGTGGGGTCAAGGAATTGTTCCATGGCATTTCTAATCAGTAGAAATGGAGAGTGGAAAAACAGGAAAAAACAAATGAAAAAGCACATGAGTCACCCAGTAATCAGTGACAAAGGGAGTCCATAAGTGTACTAAGTAGGAAAGCTAGGTTTCCAATGGACCAGAGACAAAAGGTGGAACCAGAAACAAGCTGTTTCTAAGAACCATAATGACCAGCTCTCAGAAAAGGTGGGACGTCAAAAAGCAACAAGACTAGGAAAGGGGATGATACCATGTGGTTAGTGCAGACCTCTAGTTCAAATAAGCAAGAAACAAAAGTGATGAGAAATGACCTGATGAGCTACATCAGCTTGAAATTTCAAAGTATAAGAAGCATTCCCCAGAAACTCATTACAAAGGAATGGTGCAACATGGAGATCCCCGAGAAAAAAACTCGGAGGCAGATGACCAAAAGTAAGGCATTTTGGTGAAGTACATCCCCAAAACAAATAAACCAAGTTAACTGGTACATAATGGAGAAATAAAACTAAGGCCAAGTTGGAAAAGGTCCATGCAAATTTCCCAAGTAGAGTTGATGAGTCACAATGTAAAGTTTCTAAAAGAAGGTGAAGCATGGACAGAGACCAAAGAAGTTGGGTAAGTAAGAGACAAAGATGAGTAGATAAAAAGTGAGAAAAAGATACCCAAACTGAAAATGGCTGAGGCTTATGCAACAAGTTAGCCCAAAATTCAGCAAAAAAACAAGTGGAGATAGAGAAAAAATGACACATATCCGAATAATTCAAGCAGGTAAGGAAGAAAGTGGGATTACCTGATCCTCATTGGAAAAAGGGAACCAGAAGCAAAATTAGGTAAGGAAACAGTCCGACAAATTCGTCTAAAAATGGGGCAAGCTCAGCTGAAGTAACAGAAGGAGGAAGTCAAGAATTTTGGATCTGAGATCAAAATGGAACCAACAATTTTTGGCACAAAAGAATTAACATCAAAGTGCATCCAGTTGCCACTGCAGTAGTGATGAACCTTAGGAGGTGGAAACATGATTTCATAATTCAGATGATAGATTAAACCATCTTATGTTTTCTTTTATATAAAAATTAGCCTGGTATGTCCATAGTGCATAGGCCTAGGTCATTCATGTAACGACTAAATTGAAGAGTATTTGACAAAATCTGTATGTTTGGTTAAAACAACAAGAAATAGTACTGTCAAAGAAACCTTATTAAAGGCACTGGAATACATGCCCCAAAATTGCAAATTTGATTAAGAGTAAAAATTTAATGTAACTTGAAATAACGTTCTAACTCAATTGGTTAAAATATGGTATCTTTTTTTCTCATAATAAAGAAAATAAATGCAAGAAAAACTATCCAACAAATGAAAACAACTGTTTAAAATAATAAACACAAAAATTCAATAATTCTTTGGGAAAAAACATACACCTGAACAAAGCAGTTCCCAGAAAAAGAATGAGCCTTTGTTGAAATGTTTGCTTGTGGGCTTTATTTTGCATAAAGGATGTGGCATCCTCCTAGTGGTGAAGGGGATGATTACATTATAGGTTGATGCAGTCCAGATTAACACACGTATAGGTGTAAGTTTCATTCAAAGCTTGTAGCATGAACAAAAGAAAGTAATAATTGTTTGTTCTGTAAGGAGGTAAGGAGCATTTCTGAATAATGCCTCCTTTACTAAGACAGGGAATCAATGTCTACAATAAACAATTTTGGCCAAAAATGTAGGTGCACACACTTTTTCATTATAAAGGTTGATGTTCAGCTGGTTGTTGAATTTTAAGAATTAACATGAGTCAAATATCGACATTCATATTAAAATCATTTTATACAGTGAAAAATCAAAATATATACACCACAAACAACAAAGTAAAACAGAAAAATTTACAAATCAGCAGTTAATTTAGACAATAAATTCAACTATCTACAAGAACTGTTCAGTTTATATAATCAGGCTTAAGACGTTGTTATTACATACTAATCATGATGAACAAACTAATTCATATAATCAAGAGTAGCAAATACACGTATCATTTGACAAAATCTTTTCATGAAGATGGCATAGTTCAATTAATCATTCAATGTTCGTGTAGGTAGTCACATAAATTTAAAAACAAAGAGCCCTTTTATGGATTCACAAAGTACAATTCTCATTACAGCAACCTTTATTTTTTGGCAGATGTGACAAAAACAAATAAAAAAACTTGTTTCCTGTAACTTCCTCAAATAACATGATTTGATGATTATTGGTTTTTTATTCTTCTTCCAAGACTGGTATTTATGGGATGACAAGAAGATATGTTTGTATTTGCAAAAGAAGCAGACCTAAACTAGTTAGCATTTATGAAGCACTCAAAACATTTTCTTACCAGCATGAAATCTGTTGTGAAAAATGTTTATTGGAAGGAAAACCGTCAAATGTTTTTTTATCTTGTAATTGGTATTAACAAAAGCTTTCCTATGCTAAAAACAAGCAATGGAAATTTTGCTTACTGGCTAATTCTTAGAACATGATGGTTGTTGACATGTTTTGTCAATGAAATATTTTTAACAGCTTCTTAACAATGTCTTCATTGAAAGCTGCACAAATCGTATGCCATTAATAGGCAGGTTGGGAATTTAATATCACGACCTATTAAAAATAGTAACACATATCAAAATCATGCTCAATTTCATAAGACTGAACTAAAATCACACACTATTCATGTGGTAGTTTGAATTGTTAAAAAAAAGAAAGAGGTGAGATGACTCAGAAGCAAGTGCTAGTGGATTAATCCTTTAGTTCAGCTGGTATAGCACTCACCTACTAGCAAGTGCTAGTGGATTAACCCTGTAGTTCAGCTGGTATACCACTCACCTACCAGCAAGTGCTAGTGGATTAACCCTTTAGTTCAGCTGGTGTAGCACTCACCTACCAGCAAGTGCTAGTGGATTAACCCTTTAGTTCAGCTGGTGTAGCACTCACCTACTAGCAAGTGCTAGTGGATTAACCCTGTAGTTCAGCTGGTATAGCACTCACCTACCAGGCAAGTGCTAGTGGATTAACCCTTTAGTTCAGCTGGTATAGCACTCACCTAATGTGCAAAGGTCTCCATTTCAATCAGATCCAAGGAAACAAAATTTAAATTACCACATACCTATAAACCCAATACACTCAGAAAAATGTGACAAAGGTTGTTAAGCTTCAACAGAGAGTGAAGAGATACTGAACAGTGAAACTAAAACCTTGCAACACTGTAATGCTTATCAAAGAAAGATATCTACATAGATTGGGACAAAAAATGAAAGCAGGAAAGGTTTAAAACAATATCACGAGTATTATGCTTGTTACTTTCCAGAGCTTTTTTTCCTATAGATTGAACCAAAGCATTATATTATTATTTTCAACAACCCTGCAATATACAGTTTTTAACAAAGATCTAACAATTTGTAGGTAGCTTAATGAGTTTTTAAGGATGTTACAGGAAACAATTTGTTTGACTTTCTTCCTTAGACACTTTAAACTCTTATAACAAGCTTTAAACTGCCAGGTGAACTGGTAATCAGACCTGATGAAGATACACGGAAGCAGGCTAAAACATCGTCAAACCAGCAGTTCACCAGGCAGGTTGTCCACTTCAACTGTATTCTAGCTTTTTTTTCAAACAACTTACATGCATCATAGAAAGTACGCATGTGTACGTGAAACACACTGCAAAATTTACACAAGTTTTAAAGTCACTTCTCTTAATTAGTGTTCCTAATGTAAAAAAGCACACCTGTTTGGGCAGCAGCGAGTGGTGCTGGTAAGCCCAAAGGACTGTGGAGTGTCGCTATCTCCTGGTATTGGTGCTGAAGGATTTCCAAAGTATTCTGCTGGGTGTGGTCTGCAAATTAAAATAATGTTCATCTGAATGTTTTTGTGTTAAAACACCTGTGCAAGTTTGAGATGCTTTTGCATTACACATTAAACTTTCTTGAAGTAATTGCAATGTGCATTGATTAGTTGGTGTTTTAAAATATATTTTTTTCATTCTAAGGATGTCTGGTTTACACGTGTAGCCTAGAATTTAAAAAGTAAATATATGATAATGTTTTAATTTCTGATACTGGAAATCAATGAATTCTTGAGATTTTTCTTCCAAACATGAAGTAAATTTTGCAGAGTTTTTCACTTATCTAAATTAAGCTAAGGAGATTTAAACAAAATAAAATATATGGGAACAATAATGATAAAGATATTTTGCATGTACAACAAATATCTATTTAAACATGAATGAAATATATTTATGTACAAAAAGATATATATATACATATATGCACTCACAAAAATATTATATGTGAACACTAAATGGGACACAAAACTAACAATTTTATAAATCAGAAAAGGTGGCTGACAAAAGTTTAGTTTCTGATTACCAAATACATAATTCACAAAAACTAGCTTTACTAACTTTAAAATTTCGTGCTTACATACACCATTTTCGGTACATATGTAGACATTACAAAACAGCAATTAAAGAATATTTGGTTTTAATTCGCTGTGCAAAACATGTAGAATAAACAGCCTATCAAACTATGGCATTAGACTCTATTTACTTGTGTACACAAAGTAAGTACACATTGTACAAAGATGTTCAGCTATGACAGAAACTAGTTCTGGCTATCAATAAACTGTCATTATGATAGGTCATACAACCTGGAATATATTCAAAGTGAAAAGTTTTAGTACAAGTTACCCTAAGTCAAAACTCTACATCATACTTATATCCCTGTAATTTCTGTTTTTTTTATGTATATATGCATCAAACATGATAAAAATCATGAAGCCCACAAGTTATAATCATCAACTTACTTTTAAAGAGGGCATATCTATTTTGTTCAAAGTGACCAACACATCAGTTTTCTTGAGTTTTGATTTATTTAATTCAATTCTTTGTGTTTTCTAGCTATTGTTATAGTAGAGTTAATGCACCATGACCTTACCTGTTACAACTTTTACTATATGAGCCAAAAGAACGAAATGCTCTTAAATCAAAAAGTCCTATCTTGGGGCCTGGTGAAGTGATAATTACCCAATGCTTTGATCCACTTCTACAGATCTTTATCAGGGTTTATGAACATATATAAAATGAATGAAATGTCATCTAATCAGCAGTTCACCAGGTTAGATGTTCATTTTTAACAACTTTACACATTGAACAATAATCATTCACTTTTAAATGTTCTTCTTACCACAATATTCACTCACAGATATCTATCTATCGAGAAAGTTCATATATAATACGTTTAGAGCTGGGTGGCTGATTACATTATCAGGTAAAATAATCAACTGATTGAAATCAGTGTTTTCAATTACTCCAACTGTCATTATTATTTTCAATTAATTCAAAGTTATTCAGCTTAATCGATTACTGATATGACTCATGAAAATAATCAAAATTAGTGTTTCTGATTATGACTATCTTTGATTATTCCAACTATTCGAGTCTCAAGTGAGAACAAACATTTAGTCAAAGGTTAATCAATCAATGAACCCTGATAGTGACTGACAGACTTCACTACCTTGCATCACCCATGAACTAATTGATGAACTCAACAGTAAGTGTTCCTATGGGTAAACATATTAATTTGCAAAATGTATGCTACAGCAAACTTACACCAGTGAAACATCATTACGTTAACCACACATATAGGTACTGTAATACTGTCTGATTTGATGACCTAGGGTAATCTGGTTGTTATGTAAGATCATACTTCCTGGATTATATTATATTATATATATATATATATATATATATATATAGTAGTACTACTATAATACTGCCTA